TTGAGACCAGCCCGGCCAACATAATGAAACCCCATCTCTATTAAAAATACAAAAATTAGCTGGATGTGGTGGCAGGCACTGGAGTCTCAGTTATTCAGGAGGCTGGAGCAGAAGAATCGTTAGAACAAGGAAGGTGGAGATTGCAGTGAGCCAAGATCACACCACTGCCCTCCAGCCTTCGGGACAGAGTGAGACTATCTCAAAAACAATCTAAAAAAATTAAAATAAATATACCACATTTTGTTTATCAGTTGACGATAGACATCTGGGTTGTTTCCGGCTTTTGACTATTATGAATAATGCTGCTATAAACATCAGTGTGCACGTTTTGGCAAGAACTATGGATTTTTTTTTCCAATTCCCATTTATTTTTGGTTCTTGGTGCAATGTCACCTTTTCAATATGAAAAAAGCAGCAAGTTCAACACAAAATAGAAATCTGAAGTGCAGGACAGAACAAAACTAAGAAGCGTAAGGGGGGAAAAAAGCAACAGCAAAAGGAAGATATGAGATGTTGCAAAAAAGAGGGAGGAGGGTTCCCCTCTCCTCTGGAGAATGACTCAAACACTAATGTGGCAGTATACACCATTCACATAGAGTCAAGGACGTTAATCTTTTCTGGGGGTTAAGAAAAGGTGGGGATTGGGGGCATTTCTGGAGGCCTGGGGACAAAGTCTGTTTCTCTTTCCCATCCCCTTCTCTGATCAGGAGAAAGGGAGGAATTCCATGTGTGAGGTAAGTAGAGTCAAGAGAGGGAAAGATTCTACTTGACAGAGTAAGGCAGACCTCTCCAAAGGGTAGAGCTTGGAGGAAGGTTGGAAATGGAGAAAATACTGCTAAAACACCTCCCTTGAAGCTGAGAAATGGAAAATGAAAATACCTGGAAATTATGACTTTAATAGCCTGGATTTCCCTCTCAAAACTTTTAGGATGGAAAATCCCCTCCCCTTCCTTCCTGAGACTTCTACCTGCCATCTTCTACCATCTTCAACTTTGAGCTTAGGATGGTGGCCATTATCTACATGGGCTTTCAAAACCCAGTTGGTTCTAAATGAGATCTGGATGAGACCCTGCTTCTTGCAGATTTTGAAAAAGGGAAATATTAACTGGACAGATGAAAGGGATGGGCACTGGAAGGAAATATAGAGTCACCCAGAATGGCAGTAACCTAGGCTTCCCAGAGTGGAAAGAGAGGAAACATTCCACAAACAAGTATTTATTGAGCACCTACTGTGTGCCAGGCACTGTTCTACATCCCCGCAAAGAAAAGAAAAAAACGGAAAACAAGATTGAGGTGGCAAACACAAATTCTGAGGGAGAGAAAAGGGGCAGGTGAGTAAGATGGCTAAGGGAACTGAGAAGCCTGAAGTGACGGGGGCTCTGCCTTAGGCCTCCTCTTCAGCCTCCTCACAGAAATCCTCCTCCTCTTCTGTGGTGGCATCCTGGCACTGCTGATACTCAGAAATCAGGTCGTTCATGTTGCTCTCAGCCTCAGGAAACTCCCATCTCATCCATGCCCTTGCCTGTGTACCAGTGGAGGAAGGTCTTCCAGCAGATCATGGCAGTGAACTGCTCCAGGTTCAGCTGAAGAGCTTCTGGATGGCCGTGCTGTTGCCAATGAAGGTGACTGCCATCTTGAGGTCATGAGGTGAGATGTTACAGAGAGCTGCCTTAATGTTGTTGGGGATCCATTCCACAATTAGCTGCTATTCTAGTTCTGCACGTTGAGCATCTGCTCATCAACCTCTTTCATAGACATCCATCCATGAAGACAGTGCCACAATGAGATATAAGCCGTGGCACGGGTCACAGGCAGCCATCATGTTCTTGAAGACCTGCTGGGTGAGTTCGGACACTATGAGAGCTTGATACTGCTGACTTCCATGGCTGGTGAGAGGGCAAAGCCAGGCATGAAGTAGTGGAGACATGGGAAGGGCACCAGGTTGACTGCCAACGTGCAGAGCTCCGCATTGAGCTGGCCAGGTAAGCAGAAGCAGGTGGTAACACCATTTACGGTGGCTGAGACGAGGTGGTTCAGGTTCCCATAGGTTGGTATGGTCAGCTTCAAAGTTGTCATAGAGGGCCTTGTTATCAATGCAGTAGGCTCATCAGTGCTCTCTACCAACTGATGGACGGAGAGGGTAGTGTTGTAGGGCTCGACCATAGTGTCAGGCACTTTGGGTGAAGGCACCACACTGAAGGTGTTCATAACGCAATCAGGGTGCTCTTCTTGGATCTTGCTGATAAGGAGAGTGCCCATTCCACAGCCTGTGCCCCGGCCCAGTGAGTGGGTCAGCTAGAAGCCCTGAAGGCAGTCACAGCTCTCAGTCTCCTTCTGCACCACATCTAGGACTGAATCAACCAGCTCAGTCCCCTCTATGTAGTGTCCTTTAGCCCAGTTGTTGCCTGTTCCAGACTAACCAAAAACAAAGATGTCTGATCTAAACATCTGGCCAAAAGGGCCTGAGCTAGCAGAGTCCATGGTCCCAGGTTCTATATCCACCAGGACAGCACGAGGAACATATTTGGCACGTGTGGCTTCATTGTAGTACTTGGAGATGCAGTCCAGCTGCAGGTGCTGTCTTCATGTTAGGTGCTGGTGGGCTCGATGCCACGATCATCACTGATCACATCCCAGAACTTGGCACTAATCTGGTTGCCACACTGACCAGCCTGGATGTGCAGATTTCCCTCATGGTTAAAATTTATTTTAATTTTTTTTCTTGCTTCAAGGTATGTAGCGGGCAATAAAACACGTAACTTTTTTTCTCTGCTGGTTGCAAGCTGAAAGGATGGAATGTGCCCCAGAGGCTAGAGCAGCAAGGTGCAAATGTGGCAGCAGGAAGGTTCTGAGAGGCAGAACTGTGCATTTTCTTGTATAAAAATTAGATCTAGGCCGGGCGCGGTGGCTCAAGCCTGTAATCCCAGCACTTTGGGAGGCCGAGGCGGGTGGATCACGAGGTTGAGAGATCGAGACCAACCATGGTCAACATGGTGAAACCCCGTCTCTACTAAAAATACAAAAAATTAGCTGGGCGTGGTGGCGCGTGCCTGTCATCCCAGCCACTGAGGAGGCTGAGGCAGGAGAATTGCCTGAACCCAGGAGGCGGAGCTTGCGGTGAGCCGAGATCGCGCCATTGCACTCCAGCCTGGGTAACAAGAGCGAAACTCCGTCTCAAAAAAAAAAAAAAAAAAAAATTAGATCTAGGCCAGGCGTGGTGGCTCACGTCTGTAATTCCAGCACTTTGGGAGACTGAGGTGGATGGATCACAAGGTCAGGAGTTTGAGACCAGCCTGGCCAACGTTGTGAATCCTTGTCTCTATTAAAAATACAAGTCTGCCAGGTCATGGTGGCGTGCACCTATAATCCTAGCTACTCGGGAGGCTGAGGCAGGAGAATCACTTGAACCTGGGAAGCAGAGGCTGCAGTGAGCCAGGATCACGCCACTGCACTCCAGCCTAGGTGACAGAGTGAGACTCTGTCTTAAAAAAAAAAAAATCTAAATTTTAATAATATAGATATGAAAAATTATATTGTTACTATAAAGCATGATTTCTGAGTGTTTCAGTTGATGGCTGAACAAAAATATCTAATAATGGCAAGCAAGCAAATTAAAATAAAAACATGCTATTTCAGAGAAGAAAAAAGTGGTATGTCAACAAGAACAACTAAAATGAAATGTCATATTCATCTCCTAATGAAACAGAGGTTTCCTATGAGTAAGGAAGCTGTCTGATAGGAGGATTTGAGTGACTTCTTAACACACAAACTACAGTATAACTCTTAAAGGCTTCAGTGACCACACCACAAAAATATTTATTATCATCCAGACTTCTCCATGTCCCATTAGCAACAAAATCAACACTGAAGTATGACCTAATTCTTTTGAGGGATAAAGAAAACAGTTCAGTCTATTTACCAAAGGTAGAAAATAGTTTTAAAATAATGTCTGTGTAGCATTGGGCACAACATTTACATAGAGATATGGTGCCTTGAGGGTGTCATACTAGAAAACAAATTTTCTTTACAGATTAAAGAACATCTTCTCGAAAAATGGTTAAAAATTATTTTTCATACTGTGATAAAAACAAGAGGTTTAACATTGGCAAACAAACAAACAACCAGTTAAGAGATCCAGCATGGCTTCCTTTTGTAGAAATGTTGGGAAGAGAATTCTGGAAGTTATTGTGTTCCTACTCTTTTTGGGGGACTCTACTGTATACTTTACATACATGTATTTCTTCATTTAATCCACAGAACAGCCTTATAAGGTAGGGAATATATTCCTATTTTACAGATAAGAAACTAGGATTAACTGGCTAATCTATATACTAAAGAGAGAAGAGGTTCGTTCAAACCCAAGTTTCATTCATACAGAACATGTACCTGTAATTCAGGTACATCCTTTACATACATATCGCTTTCCATTTATAGCCACTATTCCTAAAAATGTATCTGCACTATTGTTGCCACTTTCTCACTTACAACTCTTTCTGAATCCCATTACTTCTATGCAAAACACTCTTCAAAATTGCTCCAGGACTGCCAATGACTTTGTAACAGCCAAATCCAAAGGACACTTTTTGTTCTTTATCTGCATAACTTTTGTGGCCTGAATTTAGTTTTAATTGATTCAAATTCTCATCAATTAATCAAGATTATTTAAGTGTGCTCTACTTAATGGAAAATCAAAAATATTGCAGCTAAGCAATCATTTAAAGCACCAGCTACCAAGTTCAGAGAATATAATCCTTCATTCAAATGAAAGACTAAATCATTCACGCTTAAGGAAAAAATGATTTAAAAAATTTATGGGCCAGGCGTGGTGGCTCACGCCTGTAATCCAAGCACTTTGGAGGCCAAGGCAGGCAGATCGCCAAAGGTCAGGAGTTCAAGACCAGCCTGATCAACATGGTGAAACCCCGTCTTTATAAAAAATATATATATATTTAAAAAAAAGAAAAGAAAAAAAAATTTATGAAATCTGTATGTAGTACTACCTGTAGCTCCCAGTGGGTGTCCCTTTGAAATCAATCCACCACTAGGATTTATGACCCACTTTCCTCCATATGTATTATCTCCTCTGTCAACCAGTGTTCCACCTTGTCCTGTAGAAGAAAAAATAATATTCACAAATGTTAAAAGTAACAATAGAACAAATGATATGCTTTTCTAAGATTTCCATATAGCCAAGAATTTCTTGGAGCAAGTATTTCTTAACAGCTCAAACTAACAACAATTTGACATAAGCACTTTTAAAACTAATAAATACTTATATTTTCAGAGTAATAAATACTTATATTTTGTTTCCTGCATGAAACAAAGCTCCTATTAGTTCCTTCGAGCTCTCTGGCTTCCAAAATTGCTTCAAATACAGTAGAGACTCAAAGAACTAGGAGAATAAAATTTGCAGGGGGGAAACCCCACAAGTGCCATGGCAAGGGTCTGAAGCCTCAGCCTGTTCCCATAAAAATACTGATTTAGAAAAGAATTAGAAATGTAGGCACATAGTTATTCCTTTATATAATCATATATAATCTTATAGTTATGTATAATCATAAAGATATATACTCAATATAACCTTTAATTTTACTAATGACCATCAGGTTATGAAGCATGGAACTGAGGTGACATTGTGAACAAAGTGATCCTAAGGCAAGATGCTCTAAGGCCTCTGTCACACCCACATAAAGGCTGCTGGGGGGCGCCTCAGCTGTGCAGCAGCACCAGTGCTGTGAAAGCACCCGCTGTTTAGCCAGCTAGGGAAGGAGGTGTCCAAAATGACCAAGACATCTCCTTCCAGGGGAAGTTAGGAGAAAACTCCGCTTCTCCAAGCTCTTGTGGCAAGGCCTGACGGCTGTCAGGGAAACCCACAAACATCCAGGGGCTTAATTATCTCTATGTGATCCTGTGCTTCAGTGGTCACGTTCCATGTCTACTCTCATGCCCTACTTCTGCACCTGGTTTCTCTTTGTCTCAGAATTAATGCCCTTGACATTTCTAACAAAATTGCAAAGAACACTGACACATTAGCTTTTCTCCTTGCCTTGGCTACTTTAAAGTCCTGGCCCCTTATCCTCAAGACATGTGATTTACCTGATCCTATCACTGATCACCATTACCTCACCCTACCTTCCCTGCCCACTGCTTTGTACTCAATAAAAGTCGAAGTGTCCAGGCACTCAGTGCCACTGCAGGTCTCTGCCATTTGGTTGGCAGTGGGCCCCCGATCCCAAACTCTCTTTTCTCTGTCTCTGTGTCTGTGCCTTTTATTTCTACAGTTTCTTGTTTCCGCATCAACAGGGAGGGGCTCACAGAACCCTATAGGGCTGGACCCTGTAAGAACTGAAATGGATAATATGCTGTAACTAAAATAACTTATGTCAGCTTTAAAAATTCATATTTTTGACAAAATATGTTCATTTCTATTTTCAACTGTGCTGCTATATACTATATAAGTATTTTTAATAAATGTGGAAAAGCAGGAGAAAAAAAGACAGTTTCATAAAATGAAGAGAAATGTCTGAAAACACTGTCAAGCCACAAAAGTAAGATTAAAAAAAATACTTCACATGCTCAGTGGCTTCAATGTTCCTGTCAATTTCCTGGTCACTGGACATTCTTCCAGGTGGTTAAGAAGTAAATGAAAATGTATGTATGGTATAAAATTGTCTTCCACATCATATTTCTAATAAGGTAATAAGATGTGGAAACTCCAAATAATGATAGCAATGATGGTGGTGATGCTGTCAAAGGTAGCTAATAGCTTTTGAGCACTCACTCTGGCTCAGACCTTGTTCTTATTATTTTCTGTATATATAGTCAGCATCCATGGGTTCCGCATCATAGATTTATCCATTCATAGGTCAAAAATATTCAGAAGAGGCTGGGCACAGTGGCTCATGCGTGTAATCCCAGCACTTTGGGAGGCCAAAGTAGGTGAATCACCTGAAGTCAGGAGTTTGAGACCAGCCTGGCCAAACCCGTCTCTACTAAAAATACGAAAATGAGCTGGGTATGGTGGCAGGCACCTGTAATCCCAGCTACTTGGGAGGCTGAGGCAGGAGAATTGCTTGAACCTGGGAGCAGAGGTTGTAGTGAGCTGAGGTCATGCCACTGCACTGCAGCCTGGGCGACAAGAATGATATAGATAGATAGATAGATAGATAGATAGATAGATAGATAGAAGAAAAAAAATTCTAAAAAGCAAAACTTGAATTTGTATGTGCTGAGTACTACTTTGAATCCATGGGAATGAAGTGATGTCTGGTTGTTATAAGTAATCTAGAGATGATTTAAACTATATGGGAGGATGTGCATAGGTTATATGCAAAACTTATGCCATTTTATATAAGCAACTTCCATGGATTTTGGTATTGTGGGAGGTCTTAGAAACAACCCCCATAGATACTGAGTGGTGACTGTATTTATATAATTTAATATTCAGTCCTATGAAGTAGGTGCTATCATTCTCACTTCCTAGATGAGAAAACAAACATGTTAAGTAACCAGCCAAGGCAACAGCAAGAGATCTAGGATTAATACTCAGGCAGCCTGGCTCCACAGCCTGTGTTCCGCTTGTAACCAATATGCCTTCAAAAACAAAAGTTCCTCTATTGGTTAAATGAAATACACCAATCACAGGATTTCAGATGACTAGCACTTCTAATTTGGCTTTAAATCTAGGTTATAGATAAAGAAAACCATTGGTTAAAAGATTCTCTCTTATTTTTTTGGTATGTTTCAACCTTAGATATTGCTCTAGGAAGTCTGGGCACAATGGCTCATGCCCGTCATCCCAGTACTTTGGGAGGCCAAGGCGGGATGATCACCCAAAGTAAGGAGTTTAAGACCAGCCTGGCCAACATGGAGAAACCCTGTCTCTAATAAAAATATAAGAATTAGCCAGGCACGATGGTAGGCGCCTGTAATCCCAGCTACTCAGGAGGCTGAGGCAGGAAGAATCACTTGAACCCAGAAGGTGGTTGTTGCAGTGAGCTAAGATAGTGCCATTGCACTCTAGCCTAGGCAACAGAGCAAGACTGTCTCAAAAATAAAAATAAAAGATTCTGGCTGGGCGCGGTGGCTCACACCTGTAATCCTAGGACTTTGGGAGGCCAAGATGGATGGATCACCTGAGGTCAGGAGTTCAAGACCAGCCTGGCCATCATGGTGAAACCCCATCTTAAAAAATAAATAAATAAATAAATAAAAATAAAAGAAATTGCTCCAAGGCTCTAGTCATAGGAGATAAATCTATCTACTATTGCTACTTTCAAACTGCTAAATATTGCTTCTGTAGCAAGTAATAACAAACTGAACACAAGCCAACCCCCAAAAGTAAATAATTCACCATAATTTTCCCATAATATATACAATCTTTTAATGTACTACAAGATTCCAGAGGGAAATTATCTTGAACTCCTCAACTAAAAATATTCAGAGATTAAAGTACTGTAAATGAATACTCTCACCTAGCATAGATAGGAAAATAAATGCATTCACTTTCGGAAAACAATTATTATACCTATTCTGTACCAAAAACTAAACTAGGAACTTATGGATACAACAGTGAACCAAACAAAAATCCCTACTACCATGGAGTTTAAGTTACTGTGGAGAGGGGGATGAGAGAGAGACAGACAATATGTAAAATAAGTAAAGAAATATGTAAAGTGGTGGTAAATGCCAAGGAAACAAAGAAAGCAGGAAAAGGGAATAGGACACATTGAGACAAGGAAGATGGAGGTGAGTGGTTTATATTTCAAACAAAGTGATCAGAGAAGGCTTCCACTGAGAAAGACATCAGTCAAAGACCTGAAGGGAGTGAGGGAGCAAATCACGTGTATTTGGAACAAAGGCCCTGAACCAGGAGCAAGCTTCCAGTGCCTGAAGAAGGAAGCCAGTGTCGCTGTAGCAGAGGAGAAGATTCGGAGAAAAGTAGAAGATGGGAGTGGGAAGTAAGGAGGACAGATCACATTTGGTTTGTTCCTCTGAATGAGTTGAGAAACTCAAAAATTAAGGCAGGTGCGGTGGCTTGTGTCTGTAATCCCAGTATTTTGGGAGGCCAAAGTGGGTGGATCACCTGAGGTTGGGAGTTTGAGACCAGCCTGACCAATGTGGAGAAACCCCATGTCTACTAAAAATACAAAATTAGCCGGGCATGGTGGCACATGCCTGGATTCCCAGCTACTCGGGAGGCTGAGGCAGGAGACTCACTTGAACCCGAGAGTTGAAGGTTGCCATGAGCGGGGATCGTGCCATTGCACTCCAGCCTGGGCAACAAGAGCAAAACTCCATCTCAAAAAAAAAAAAAAAAGTAGGCAGCTGGATACTTGAGTCTAGAAGTTGGAAAAGCAGTTCAAGCAAGAACGTAAGTTTGAAGGTGATCATTTTATATCTGTAGCTATGTAAAATATCTAACTTTGAGACTAGGTTTCATATTAGGCAGCATATGCTCACTATAGTCTGTCTCATTGATTACAACTGAAAACACTGGATATAATACTAAAAAAAAAGAGCAACTACCTGAGGACTCTGAAAAGTAAATAAAAGCAGGGGGATTACAGAGCAAGTCAAAACTTGGAGAAGCCACTGCATAAGGGTGAGCTCCTGGTTGTCTTTTTTCTTTTTAGGCTCTCTCTCTCAACAGCTTTGCACCAAGGTTGAGCACAGACCTGGAACAGCATGGCAGCAGAAGCAGCAAAAGAAGCTAAAGTTCTAACAGAAACCCCAGGAGGTGGAAGATGCAATGAACTGAGATCACACGACTGTACTCCAGCCAGGGTGACAGGGTGAGATTCTTGTCTCAAAAAAAAAAAAAGTATTACTGAAATACATTATGTTTTTCATATTAAGTCTCCAAAACCCCGCTTACAGCACATGCCAATTTGAACTAGCTACATTTCTTTTTTTTTTGAGATGGAGTCTCTCTCTGTTGCCCAGGCTAGAGTGCAGTAGCATGATCTCAGCTCACTGCAACCTCCTCCTCCCAGGTTCAAGCAATTCTCTTGCCTCAGCCTTCCGAGTAGCTGGGACTACAGGCGTGTGCCACTATGCTCAGCTAATTTTTGTATTTTTAGTAGAGACGGAGTTTCACTATGTTGGCCAGGATGGCCTCGAACTCCTGACCTCGTAAATCTTACTGCCTCAGCCTCCCAAAGTGCTGAGATTACAGGTGTGAGCCACTGCACTAGGCCTGAACTAGCTACATTTCAAAGACTCAATAACAAGCATAGCTAGTGGCTATCATATAAGTACAGGTTTCAACACTCCAGTTAAAAGGCAGAAATCAACGAAGTAGATTTTTAAAAATACATTATTGTGGCCAGGCGTGGTGGCTCACATGGGCGAGGTTGCAGTGACTGGAGATCACAACACTGCACTCCAGCCTGGGCTACAGAGAGAGACTCCGTCTCAGAAAAATGAAAAAACAACAAAAAAATTGTTGCTTACATGGTGCCTATAAGAGATACACTTTAAATAAATTAACATAAAAAGATTGAAAGCAAATGAACAAAATCTCATGCAAAGAATAAGCATAAGAAAGATGGAGTAGCTATTTTGGTCAGATAAAGAGCCTTCTAGACAAAGAATATAACCATAATACAAATTATTTGGACACTCCATCATCTTAGTGTTGCTACTGCCTAATACTACAAGCTCTAAAAAGTCCAGTACCAAAACAGCTTACATTCACTTTGCACAGTGTGGAGGAAAAAGCAAATAGTGAATTCTTTTTTTTTTTTTTTTTTTTTTTTTTTTTTTTTTTGAGACGGAGTCTTGCTCTGTCATCCAGGCTGGAATGCAGTGGTGCGATCTCAGCTCACTATAACCTCCGACTCCTGGGTGCAAGAGATTCTCCTGCCTCAGCCTTCTGAGTAGCTGGGACTACAAGCGCATCCACCATGCCCTATTAATTTTTGTATTTTTAGTAGAGACGAGGTTTCACCATGTTGGCCAGGATGGTCTCGATCTCTTGACCTCGTGATCTGTCCACCTCGGCCTCCCAAAGTACTGGGATTACAGGCATGAGCCAGCATGCCCAGTCGTGAATTCTTTTATCTAATGGTCAAAGTGAAGTTTTCTCAGTGAAATTTACCAAATAAATCTGCCCTATTAAAAAATATTACCTTCTGGACAGAGTCCTAGTGCTTCGTAAGTAAGGAGTTCATTGGCAGAAAAGCAATCATGAAGTTCTATTACGTCAATATCACTTGGTGTCAGGCCAGATTTCTCATAGCATTTTCTTGCAGCTTCTTTACTCATATCAAAGCCAACCTAAAACCAAAACCATATATAAATAAAAGGTACCAAAGCTGGGCCTTTTAGAGAAGTTTGGGCCTTTTAGAGAAGTACTTTAAGAGAGTAATAGATGTATAACCTTAACAACTGATAATCGACCACATATATTGAAATCTTGGCCAGGTGCTCATACCTATAATCCCAGAACTTTGGGAGGCTGAAGCAGAAGGATCGCCTGAGCCCAGGAGTTTGAGAGCAGCCTGGGCAACATTGGAAGATCCAGTCTCTACAAATAATTTAAAAATTAGCCCGGTGTGGTAGTATGGGCCTGTGGTCCTAGCTATTTGGGAGCCTAAGGAAGTATGATCGTTTGAGCCCAGGAGGTCAAGGCTACAGTGAACCAGGATCACCTCACTGAATTCGTCTGGATGAAAGAGCAAGATCCTGTCTCAAAAAAAAAAAAAAGAAAGAGAGAAGAAAGAGGAAAGGATCACTTGAGCCCAGGAGTTCTTTATTTCCAGCCTGGGAAATATGGCAAAACTCACAAACATTAGCTGGGCATGGTGGCATGTGCCTGTAGTCCCAGCTACTTGGGAAGCCGAAATGGGGAGGATTGACTGGGCCTGGGATGTGGAAGTTACAGTAAGCTGAGATCGCACAACTGCATTCCAGCCTGGGTGACAGAGTAAGACCCTGTCTAAAAAAAAAGAAAAGAAAAAAAACAAGAGCAACAACAAAACAAAACAAAACAATCTTTGTTTTTCCCTTAACTCTGTAAGATTGGAGTTCTAGGTATAGTCAACTTAAAATAAAGATAAATAGCATGTCTAGTTAATTAAAAGTTATCATATAATAATGCATGCATCCATCATAAGAAGCACTGTTCTCATTAGCTATTTTCCCTTAACATATTTTTAAGGATGGACAATAATACTACAATTTTTAGACCAATTTTTGCAGGTAAACAAAAATTGTTTACCAAAACTGATGACAGCATAAGGTCACTTTGAAATTTTAAACAGCCATTCTTTAATTTTATTAATAAATGAAATCAGCCAGGCACGGAGGCTCACATCTTTAATCCTAGCACTTTGGGAAGCTGAGGCCAGCAGATCACTGGAGGTTAGGTGTTCAAGACCAGCCTAGTCAACATGATGAAACTCTGTCTCCTCTAAAAGTACAAAATATTAGCCAGGTGTGGTGGCGTATGCCTGTAATCCCAGCTACTTGGGAGGCTGGGGTAGGAGAATCGCTTAAACTTGGGAGGCAGAGGTTGCAGCCAAGATCATGCCACTGCACTCCAGCCTGGGTGTCAAAGTGAGACTCTGTTTCAAAAATAAAAAATAAAATAGAATCTCAGACATACCATTTTAATCATGCTTTTTTCTTCAAACGAGCTTGGCAAATCAGTCATCATTTCTTGTGCCAAAATTTCCACAGCTTTGGGTTGCAGGCCATACTTCTGTACAAATGCTTCACTGGCCAAAATTGCTGCTGCAGCACCATCTGAAGTAGGACTAAGAAGAGGTAAAAATAATTCTCCACACCCAGTAGCACCTCATCATAGGATTTCAGACTAGGAGTTCCTTCTATGTGAAAAGAAAGGCAAATATGCTTGCTGGTCAGTGGGTTGTCTTCTTTGTGATATCTACAGTTGTAAATCACACATGCTTCCCACCTGAGAACTGGACCTCAATCAAGAACTTAAATGTTGTCAAACACTACTGGGTATCTAAGAGTCCCAAAAAGTTCTTATTGCAAAGAATCACCAATTTGCCTCTAGAGATGCACAAGGCATCTTCTGGGAACTTCTGAGGAGTAAGTCCAAAGGTTATTCCTGTCCTAGTACAATAAGGATTCTACTATAGACCGCCCCAGCTCCAACTTTGCTATCTCCAAATAACTCAGTCCTGAAATCCTTTTGGAAACTGGGAAAGGATAGATTGGAAGCCCTCTGTGAGGTCAGTTAGACTTTCTAAGGTTTAACCACAAGTGGGTGGCAGGAAGGGGAGCAGTTACTTCTCTCATTAAACGTTAAAATATATTTTTCTTACCAACACTGTAAGATTGTCAAAAAATCAAAAACTTTTTTAGATGCCATCACTTCATCTAAACTGTATTCATCTTGGAACTGGGAATACCTAAATACAAAATAAATATTAATTACACAATGTGAGGCAGCAACTGCAAATTTTGTTGCAGAGTTAGAAACAGAATAATACGTAAAAATTCTTTTCACAACCGAAAGGCAGATTTTTATGAAAAGCTTCGACCTTTAATAAATGAGTCAACCGAATTGACCTTTTTAAAAATCCTAACTCTAAAATACCATGTTTTATTTTTCAAAATTTGGTCTTTGTCCTGGGTTCCTGGTTCAGAGCTTCTAAAACCCTTGGAATTTCCTGAATGATAGAAGTGTCTTTGTTATGCTAATGAGGTGACTTACGGTGGACCTTGCTATCTTCAAAATGGGAGATTGATCACCAAAAGACCAACCATGTGACTACAGGGTTGAGACTTTTGAGCCAGCTCAACCTCTGAGAAAAGGAAGACTGGAGATTGAGTTCAGTCATGCGGCCAGTGATTTAATCTAGCATGCTGACGTAATGAATTCACAAAAAATCTGGACATGGGCCAAGCACAGTGGCTCATGTCTGTAATCCCAGCACTTTGGGAGGCCAAGGTGGGCAGATCACTTGAGGTCAGGAATTCGAGACTAGCCTGGCCAACATGGTGAAATCCTGTCTCTACCAAAAATACAAAAATTAGGTGGGCATGGTAGCAGGTGCCTGTAATCCCAGCTACTCAGGAGGCAGAGGCAGGAGAATGGCTTCAACCCAGGAGGTGGAGGCTGCAGTGAGCTATCATCCCACTGCATTCTAGCCTGGGCAATAGAGCGAGGCTCAGTCTCCCAAAAAAAAAAAAAAAAAAAAAATCTGGACATGGTGTTCAGTGGGACTTCCTGACTAGTGAACATCTGATGTATCTGGAGGATGACATGTCCTGACTCCATAGGGAAAAGGCAAGAAAGCTTTGCTATGGGATCCTCCCAGACCTCGCTCTATATGCCTCTTCATTTGGCTGTTTCTGATTTATATCCTTTATGATATAATGTAATTTTAAGTACTTTCCTGAGTTCTATAAGTCGTTCTAGTGAATTATTGAACTCAAGGGAGTCATGGGAGCCCCTGGATTTGTGGCCAGTTAGTCAAAAGTAGAGTGGCATGGGCAACCCACTTGAAGCTGATGTCTGACGTATGAGCAGTCCTGTAAGGACTGGGTCCTTAATTCATAGTTTGCATTAACTCCCAGGTGCTTCATGCCAGAATTGAGTTGCAATATATTCAGCTGGTGTTAGATCAGTTGGGGATTAAAACAGAATACTATATTTATGTTTCCTCGCAAATTATAGAATACTAGTTCCTTAAAAGCAAAATCAAGTGACCAGCAGTTCAACTTTTGTGATAACATTATACAAGTAAATTAATTAAAGCTAATGGAGCTTTTAAATAAATGTACAAAATAGCCAGGCATGTTGGCTCACACTGGTAACCCAGCACTTTGGGAGGCCGAAATGGGCAGATCACCTGAGGTCAGGAGTTTGAGACCAGCCCGGCCAACAAGACGAAACCGCATCTCTACTAAAAATACAAAAATTAGCCGGGATCATGGACATACGCCTATAATCCCAGCTACTCGGGAGGCTGAGGCATGAGAATTGCATGAATCCAGGAGGCAGAGGTTGCAGACAGCCAATATCGTGCCACTGCACTCCAGCCTGGGTGACGAGACTCTGTCTCAAAAAAAAAAAAACTGTCTCTGATAATTCTAGTCTACAAAATTTTTTTAAATGTTATATACAAGTTACATTTAACTACAAACAAAATTACAAACAATGGTTTAAAACAGTGACTGGTTATTTCCAACTAAAATTATTACAATAAATTTCACTAAAGTTGCAATATATGTCCAATTATATCTTTTATTGATTATGTATTTATTTTATTATTATTATTTTAGGAATACGATCTTGCTCTATCGCCCAGCCTGGAATGCAGTAGCACCATCATGGCTCACTGCAGCCTGGACTTCCCAGGCTCAAGCCATCTTTCTATCGTAGCCTCCTGAATAGCTAGGACTACAGTGCATGCCACCACACCCAGGTAATTTTTAAATTATTTTGCAGAGACAATGTCTTGCTATGTTGCCCAGGCTGGTCTTAACTCTTGGCCTCAGGAGATCTTCCTGCCTCAGCCTCCCAAAGCATCAGGATTACAGTGTGAGCCACCACACCTGGACCCCAATGACATCTTTTAATATTAGTCACTTACATTCTTTTTTTAAAAAGTCATTAGTTGGCCAGGTGCAGTAGCTCACGCCTCTAATCCCAGCACTTTGGGAGGCCGAGGCAGGCGGATCACCTGAGGTCAGGAGTTCGAGACCAGCCTGGCCAACATAGCAAAACCCCATCTCAACTAAAATATAAAAATTAGCTGGGCTTGGTGGCTCCTATAGTCCCAGCCACTAGGGAGGTGGAGGTTGCAGTAAGCCGAGATCACACCACTACACTCCAGCCTGGGCAAAAGAGTGAGACTCAGTCTCATACACACAAAAAAAAGTCATTAGCTTAAATGATATTCTAAATATAAAGTGGCCAAAACTGGAACTGAAAAGTTGTAAAAAGTTTACTTAGGTATAAGCCTTTTGTAAGAAAAAAATATAACATTCTAGCTGATATAATTGAGATCTTGGCATTTGCTTTTCAAGTATAAAGTTGCATATTACATAGTAGAATAACCCAGATTTTCATTATTTCATGTCTCTGAAATACTTACGGGTTATTAACTGAATGTTTATGATTTTTCCATCCAATTTTTGCAAAGTGTTCAATTTTTGTTCCTGTAGAGAAAGCAAACATCTACCAGTGGGTGAATGTTTTTCTGCTGCCTATTAACAAATGTTGCAGTGGTACTCAGTGTTCTGCTAAATATTTCCATATTTTCCCTTTCATATATATCATTGGATTTAAACACTTCAGCACTGTTCCCGCAAATAAGTTTTACTTATTATTAAATGTGGGCCTAATTAATGAGCTGAATCAACTAATAAGCACACAAGATAAAAACAGTTCAAACTGGTCTATTCTGACTAAAATAAGTAGGATCCAGTTTAAAAACAAGAAAACAGCCTAAATATTGTCTAAAACATAGTGGTTTTAAGGAGGAGAACACTGCCAGCAATTCTTCTAGGAGTCTGCCAAACACCCTAGTACCCTAAACTGAGAGAATTTTACACAACTCATATCCTCCAGGACATGATAAAATATTTCATCTTTCTCCCTTTCCTTATGATAAAGCAGAAAAGCTTTTAGAAGAATTATATCCTGATAAGAAATACGTAGGCTTTTAAAATTCCTTAACAGAAAATTTAAATAATCGTGTCAGGAAAACAAAAAAAAGTATAGTAACGAGGTAAAACATAAAAAAAAAATTTTTTTTTTACTAGTTTTAAAAAGACAAAACAGAGTAAAATAGGCTTTGAATTCTCATTTGGTGCTGTAAAGGCCAAAGTAAAAAGGAAGCCACTAATTGGAGCTGATAACGTTAATGGCACAGTAAAGTAGAAAGTTCTCATGTCTCTTTTATCTGTCTCTTCTCTGTCAAAGAGGATGATCTTCAGAGCAAAAATGACACACATATAATTAAGCAAATATTATCCCAATTCTAATAAAAAGAGAAGATAAATTCCACACTGTGATCTTCTAACAATAAAAATGGCTCATGCCTGTAACCCCAGCACTTTGGGAAATTGAGGCAGGTGGGTTATTTGAGGTCAGCAACCTCAAATGACACCATCTCTAATAAAAATACACAAATTAGCCAAGTATAATAAAAATACAAAAATTAGCCAGGTGTATTGGCACACTCAGGGGCTGAGGCAAGAGAATCACTTGAACCTGGGAGGCAGAGGTTGCAGTGAGATGAGATTGCGCCACTGCACTTCAGCCTAGGTGACAGAGCAAGAGTCTGTCTCAGAAAAAGAATAGTGATCGGGAGGAGGCCAATATGGGTTCAACAAGAATAAGCCAAATCAAATTATGTGTTATCTTTTCGTGACTGAATTGATTGTTAGATCAAAGAAAACATATCTGGATAGCAGCAAAGAAATTAGTAAAATTTCTCAAAACATCATTTTGGACAAGGTAAGGAAATACTGTAGTGTGGGATTTTGGGGGGGGTGGGTTATTTTTATCTTTTTTGGTGTTACCAGAAGAAAATGAAGGTTCTTCTGTCAAGTAAGTTTAGACTATGGTTAAACAAAGTTAAACAGATTTCTTTACTGTAAGACATTTTGAGCCCTACTATTGCACCATGTGCATTATGACTATCTAGAAGAGGATTAAAGTATGAAGCATTTCCCAATATTACACTCATGAGAAACAATAGGCATTAATTAACGTACTGACCTAGAGAAAAGTTTCTAGCACTAACTTCTAACCTCAGCTCTGGTCTTGTTAATATTTCTATTAAAGGACATAGATGAAGCTAGAAACAATCATTCTCAGCAAACTAACACAGGAACACAAAACCAAACACAGCATGTTTTCACTCATAAGTGGGAGTTGAACAGTGAGAACATATGGGCACAGGGAGGGGAACATCACACACAGGGGCCTGTCAGGGGTTGGGGGCAAGGGGAAGGATAGCATTAGGAGAAATAACCTAATGTAGATGATAGGTTGATAGGTGCAGCAAATCACCATGGCACCTACACATTCTGCAAATGTATCCCAGAACTTAAACTATTAAAAGACAGAGAGAGAGAGAGAGAGAGAAGTGGGGAGGGCAGGCCAGCGCAGTAGCTCACGCCTGTAATCCAGCATTTTGGGAGGCTGGGGTGGGTAGATCACAAGGTCAGGAGTTCAAGACCAGTCTGCCCAAGATGGTGAAACCCCTTCTCTATTAAAAATACAAAAATTAGCCAGGCGCAGTGCAGGCACCTGTAATCCCAGCTACTTGGAAGGCTGAGGCGGGAGAATTGCTTGAACCCAGGAGGTGAAGGTTGCAGTGAGCTGAGATTTCACCAGTGCACTCTAGCCTGGGTGACAGAGCAAGACTCTGTCTCAAACAAACCAAAAAAAAAATTAATTAATTAAAATATATTTTTTTGGCCGGGCGTGGTGGCTCAAGCCTGTAATCCCAGCACTTTGGGAGGCCGAGGTGGGTGGATCACAAGGTCGAGAGATCGAGACCAACCTGGTCAACATGGTGAAACCCCGTCTCTACTAAAAATACAAAAAATTGGCCTGGGCACAGTGGCTCAAGCCTGTAATCCCAGCACTTTGGGAGGTCGAGGCAGGTGGATCACAAGGTCAAGAGATCGAAACCATCCTGGTCAACATGGTGAAACCCCGTCTCTACTAAAAATACAAAAAAATTAGCTGGGCATGGTGGCACGTGCCTGTAATCCCAGCTACTCAGGAGGCTGAGGCAGGAGAATTGCCTGAACCCAGGAGGCAGAGGTTGCAGTGAGCCAAGATCACGCCATTGCACTCCAACCTGGGTAACAAGAGTGAAACTCCGTCTCAAAAATAATAATAATAAAATAAAAAAATAAAAAATAAAAAAAATAAAATTTTTTTTTAAGTGAGTGAACAAATTAGAGGCACTCTCACCAAACCTAAAACTGGAAGGGACTGCTATAATGTTGAATTTCAACAAGGCCTATCAATAGGATGGATCAGAATATAAATTAAATGCTCAGTTCTATTCTTGAACTCCCAAAGCAACCTGCAAAAAGGAGCAACAACTATGAGAAAGACTCTGATCGACCTCAAGCTCAACGAGATTTTATAGTGTGATGTGACTACCAGAATAGCTTACATCATAGTATATCAATTAGACTGGTACATCACAGTACAACAGTTAGACTGGTTATGGGTTATGAAACAAGTCTAATGATAAGAATTCAGAGAAGAAATTAAATATAGGGTAAGGCTGGCTTCAGATATTTGAAGGGCTACAAGGTAAAGGAAAGTTTCTAGCACTAACTTTTCTTTACCTTGTAGCCTGTCAGTCTCAGAAGACAAAAACAGAAATCATGGATGTAAACCATAGGGTGAGAGATTTGAGTTCAACAATCACATTTTTCAAACAATGAAAAAGGGAACCGTAACAATTGGAAACTCCTAAAAAATGGGATTGGTGACCTCAGCTGGTGACAAATTCCTTGTTTTAGGAAGTACAAATGCTTTATTGTCTCTATTAGATTTACAAGCAATCCATGCATAGATTGGTAGGAAGAGGGGTGACTAAAACAGTAAAGTACTTGGCATGGTGTCTGACATAAGAGATGTTCACTAATGTTCATATCTCTTCTTTCTTTTTCCTTACCATGGGATCTAACTAATCAATAAAAAATGGCATCCCCTTGAAAAATATTCTGTCAGTCACATATTTCTTAAGCCTGGGCACTGATGAAGGGCTTATTGACTACTCATTCTTAATTGCCAAGTAAGATTTTTTGCTATTCAAAGGTTATGCCTATATGTAAAATGATTTTCATATTCTGTGGTTTAATTATGAAACCACAAAATCTGCTGGTTCTACAAATGATTTAAGCTACTATAAGCTTTCTTACATACTCATTTCTGAGCACATTCACGATATTCACAAACAGCAATTTTAAATAACAATTTCAATTCTATAAAATTCTACAATTCATTAAGAAATCTGTTGAATTAAAATAAAGAAACAGTACCCCAAAATGATGGCCTCAGAAGCAAAAGTTTTCACTGACCTACTCCTACCCTCCTGTCTCTCAGTCCCATTCTCCCCTGGGGCTAACCAGAGAAGCTAGAATTCCTCTTCCCCAAGGCAGGTCATAAACACAGAACTCCTCTTCCCCAAAGCCAGTCATAAAATCTGGAAATATTACTTTAACTTCCTCCATCTTTCTGTGTGAAAACTGGACATAAAGAAATTATCTGGCCGGGCGCGGTGGCTCAAGCCTGTAATCCCAGCACTTTGGGAGGCCGAGGCGGGTGGATCACGAGGTCGAAAGATCGAGACCATCCTGGTCAACATGGTGAAACCCCGTCTCTACTAAAAATACAAAAAAACTAGCTGGGCGTGGTGGTGCATGCCTGTAATCCCAGCTACTTAGGAGGCTGAGGCAGGAGAATTGCCTGAGCCCAGGAGGCGGAGGTTGCGGTGAGCCGAGATCGCGCCATTGCACTCCAGCCTGGGTAACAAGAGCGAAACTCCGTCTCAAAAAAAAAAAAAAAAAGAAATTATCTGACCTATCTTGTTTGATTGTAGGTCATACAATCCGGAAAGGTTCCTGCCCCACACCCAGAAGGAAGGGATGCATGCTCAGAGAAGCCAAGAAGAATCTAGACAGACAGGCCTGGCTGGGTTTCCCCACTGTTTATTAGCATTAGATCATATACCTTTTGTCCAATCATGTTTCTATATAGCTGTTCCATACTTTGTTGAACCTAAGCATAAAAATGGACAATTTCCCATTTCTTTGGGTCTTCATTCTGAACGTTCCCATGTACAAATGTTAGATACATTTGTTTGCTTTTTCTCCTGTTAATCTGCCTCATATCAGTAATTTTCAGTGAACCCTCAGATGGGCAAGGCCCTTGTTCCCTACAATGACATTTCAACTGAAATAGTGTACCTTTATATTTCAAATTTTAAACTAGAAAACTGTCCAGTTATTCTGATCAATGTAAAACTTGAGAAAATGTATACACTTAAAAACACACCAGCAACAGGATTTCCAGGTTGTTGAGGAAAAATGGAGGCTGCCTAAATCTGTGTCTCTCCATAGCCTCCAAAACTAATATAGACTAACAAGAAAAAATAAAATAGCACAAATCATACTCTCAACATAACTAGAAAATAGAAAATACCTAATTTCAGCCGGGCGCGGTGGCTCAAGCCTGTAATCCCAGCACTTTGGGAGGCCGAGGCGGGTGGATCACGAGGTCAAGAGATCAAGACCATCCTGGTCAACATGGTGAAACCCCGTCTCTACTAAAAATACAAAAAAATTAGCTGGGCATGGTGGCATGTGCCTGTAATCCCAGCTATTCAGGAGGCTGAGGCAGGAGAATTGCCTGAACCCAAGAGGCGGAGGTTGCGGTGAGCCGAGATCGCGCCATTGCACTCCAGCCTGGGTAACAAGAGCGAAACTCAGTCTCAAAAAAAAAAAAAAAAATACCTAATTTCAAATTATCTGTAAGCTAAAATTAAAAAAGGAAAAATATATATATGGCCAAATCCCAGCCAACAATTGCTCACATTTCTACCACAAACCTTTAAGGGTACAAGGGCAGGCTGAGGAAACTATGCAGAGAACAGGGTAGATAATGACAGGGCAAAAACTGCTCTAAACTACAAGAAAAGAAAGACTTCCTCCCCAGTATGAAAATACCAAGAAAATATTCCTATAGATCAAACCATGACTACACGGAAGGGGCTGAAAAATACAGGAGGTCTGAGGTGGGATCTTAAAGGCATAGGTTCTGAGAAGAAAAAAAAAATGGCAAAATGAAAGGGAAAGGTCCCTTTTGGTGCAGTTGGGTAAGTGAAGGAGAAAAGCAGCAAAAGAGGAGATTTGTATGGTGTTAACAAGACAAAAAAGAACAAGGTGCACCTGTAGTCCCAGAGACTCAGGACACTGAGGCAGGAGGATTGCTTGAGCCCAGGAGTTCAAGGCTGCAGTACACCAGGATTGCACCTGAAAAGAGTCAGCCTGGACAGTACTACAAGACCCTATTCTACTACACTTACAGAAGAGGGCGCCACAGAACTAAGAATCCCCCCAATCTACAACCAACACACTCAAATCACCAGGCAATAAAACCAGAAATTAATAAAATTAAAACTCCACCTCGATTTCCATGAAATGATTCTGGGGTAAAAAATGAAAATAGAAATGGAAATTATAGAACTTGTCAAAAAATAATGATAATGAGAACAGTACATATCAGAATCAATGTGACATATTTAACACACTAATCAGGAAAATACATGATTAAACATTTATTACTAAGAATAAATGAATGACTGGCCGGGCGCGGTGGCTCAAGCCTGTAATCCCAGCACTTTGGGAGGCCGAGGCGGGTGGATCACGAGGTCAAGAGATCGAGACCATCCTGGTCAACATGGTGAAACCCCGTCTCTACTAAAAATACTAAAAATTAGCTGGGCATGGTGGCGTGTGCCTGTAATCCCAGCTACTCAGGAGGCTGAGGCAGGAGAATTGCCTGAACCCAGGAGGCGGAGGTTGCGGTGAGCCGAGATCGCGCCATTGCACTCCAGCCTGGGCAACAAGAGCGAAACTCCTTCTCAAAAAAAAAAAAAAAAAAAAAAAAAAAAGAATAAATGAATGACATAAGGAATACCATTAAGCAGTATGAGGTCCTAATGAATGAGGTCCTAGTATATGCTATGACCTGAATGAATTGTGAACATATTATACTAACTTTAAGAAGCCAGTCACAAAAGGGTACTTTGTTTCTTTTTTTTTTTTTTTTTTTTTTTTTTTTTTTGAGATCCAGTCTAACTCTGTTACCTGGGCTGGAGTGCTGGAGTGCAGTGGCACGGTCTTGGCTCACTGCTAGTTCCACCTCCCAGGCTCAAGCAATTCTATCTCAGCCTCTCCAGTTGCTGGGATTACAGGCACACACCACAACACCCAGCTAATTTTTGTGTTTTAGTAGAGATAGGGTTTTACCATATTGTCCAGGCTGGTCTCAAATGTCTAACCTCAGGTGATCTACCCACCTCAGCCTCCCAAAGTGCTGGGATTACAGGTGTGAAACACTGCACCTGGCCTTTTTTTAAAAAAAAAAAAAAAAAAAAAAAAAACAGGGTCTCACTCTGTTAACCAGGCCGTAATACAGTGGTGTGACCTCAGCTCACTGCAGCCTCCTCTTCCCAGGCTCAAACAGTGCTCTCACCTCCGCCTCCCAAGTAGCTGAGACTATAGGCATGTGTCACCACGCCAGCTAACTTTTGTAATTTTTGTAGAGCTGGGGTTTCACCATGTTGACCAACCTGGTCTTAAACTCCTGGGCTCAAGCAATACACCTGCCTCAGCCTCTTAAAGTGCTGGGATTACAGGTGTGTACCACCATACCCAGAAAAGTCATATATTGAGTACATTTGACTCTTGAACAACACAGGTTTAAACTGCATGGGTCCACTATAAGTGGATTTTTACAATGACAGTTACATCAAGTATGCCTGCCTCTTCTGCCTCTGCCACCCAAGACAGCAAAACCAACCTTCCTCTTCCTCCTCAGCCTACTCAACAAGAAAATGATGAAGAGACTCAGATCCAAGATGGCCAAATAGGAACAGCTCTGGATTGCAGTTCCCAACAAAAACGCAGAGGGTGAGTAATCACCACATTTCCAAAAGAATTTTTAGTGCCTACAGACCAGGAGATTCCCAAGCAGAAAAGTGTCATGGGTCGCCAGCGTGGCTGTTTCAGCCAATGCAGCAGGTCTCCGCACAAAAACTCACATAAATCCGGGCACCATTTCAACTGGCGACTGGAACGCCTGCGAGACAGAGTCGCCCATTCAATTGAAAAAAAAAGGAAATGAAACAGGGAGCCAGGTGATCTGGCTTGGCCAGTCCTACCCCCACGAAGACCAGCAATCTGAAAGGCTCTGGATTGAGAGTTTCACAGCAAGCACAGCTGGACCCAAGATGGTCCAGCTCTGTGGTTGGAAGGGCGTCCACCATTACCGAAGCAGTCCGCCATCACAAAGACAGTCTGCCATTACTGAGGCTGACTGCCATTACCAAACCAGCTATAACTATACCCCTATAAATAAAACTGCAAGGAAGTTCACACAGCAGCTGGGCAGAGCCCACAGCAGCTCAGTAACACCTCTGCTGGCAGACTGTGACTAGGCTACCTCCTCGCGGGCAGGGCAGCCCTGAAAGAAGGCAGCAGCATGACAGGAACTTATAAATAAAGCCCCACCTTCCTGGGACAGAGCACCTGGGGAAAAAAATTTAAAAAGGCATTTATGAGTTCTGCTGCAACAGACTTAAACATACCTGCCCAGCAGCTCTGAACAGAACAATGGAGTTCACAGCTCAGCACTTGAGCTCCTATAAAGAACAGACTGTCTCCTCAAGCAGCTCCCTGACCCCTGTATATCCAAAGAGTTACCTCATAAAGGAGAGCTCAGGTTGACATCTAGCAGGTATCCTTCAGGGACAAAGATAGCAGAAGAAGAAACCGGCAGCAAACCTTACTGTTCCGCAGCCACTGCAGGTGATCCCCAGGCAAGCAGGGTCTGGAGTGGACCTCCAGCAGTCCTACAGCAGAGGAGCCTGACTGTTAGAAGGAAAACTAAGAAACAGAAAGAAATAACTTCATCATCAACAAACAGGACGTCCACTCAGAGACCCCGTCTGAAAGCCACCAACTACAAAGACCACAGGTAGACAAATCCACAAAGATGGTAAGAAACCAGCACAGAAATGATGAAAACACCCAAAACCAGAACTCCTCTCCTTCTCCAAGGGATCACAACTCCTCACCAGCAAAGGAACAAGGCTGGATGGAGAATGAGTCTGATGAATTGACAGAAACAGGCTTCAGAAGGTGGGTAATAATAAAATTCTTGGAGCTAAAAGAACATGTTCTAACCCAATGCAAAGAAACTAAGAACCTTGAAAAAAGGTTTGACAAAATGCTAATGAAAATAAACAGCTTAGAGAGGAATATAAATGAATTGATGGAGCTGAAAAACACAAGATGGGAACTTCGCGAAGCATACACAAATTTCAATAGCTGAATCGACCAAGCAGAAGAAAGGATATCAGAGATTGAAGATCAACTCAATGAAATAAAATGAAAAGTCAAGATTAGAGGAAAAAAGAGTAAAAAGAAATGAACAAAGCCTCCAAGAAATATGAGATTATGTGAAAAGACCTCATCTACATTTGATAGATGTACCTGAATGTGACGGAGAGAATGAATCCAAGCTAGAAAATACTCTTCAGGACATTATCCAGGAGAACTTCCCCAACCTAGGAAGGCAGGACAATATTCAAGTCCAGGAAATACAGAAAACACCACAAAGATATTCTTCAAGAAGAGCAACCACAAGGCACATCATCGTCAGATTCACCAGGGTTGAAACGAAATATAAAGAGAAATGAAAAATATTTTACATGAGTTATTTAGTTGGAAAAAAAAAAACGGAGAAGGAATAACCAAAGAGGTTAAAAAAACAAGACAAAGTGCAGTGGCTTACATCTGTAATCCCAGCACTTTGGGAGGCCAAGACAGGAGAATCACTTGAAGCTAGGAGTTAGAGACCAGCCTAGCCAATATAGTAAGACCCCATCTCTAAAAAAAATAAATAAATAACTGAGCATGGTGGCATACACCTGTAGTCCAAGGCAGGAGAATCGCTTGAGTCCAGGAATTCAAGGCTATAGAGAGCTATCATTGTGCCACTGCACTCCAACCTGCATAACAGAGTAAAACCCTCACCTTGAAAAAACAATTATAATCCATGATTCAAGGAGACAAGATTTGTATTATTTTTCCTATTTCAACTTCCTGCTATGGAGTACTTTAGGTACTTCCCATACCATAGTCTATATGTGAATACTTTCTCTATGACCAAGTTCTACAAGAACTATTGCTTCAATTTAATTCAAAAAATATTTTACATCTTATATATCCTGGCATCCTTCATAATTCCTTAATAAAAAAACTGTGGTTTCTCATCTCATGCATATAACTAGTAAGAATCCTCAAAGTTTTTAAACTGTAACATACCATATTTTTCTATATGTTCTTTTCCAGCAAGCCCAAACATCTGAGGAGCAACTGGGTGAGAAGACAATCCATACTTATCGATCAGGAGGTCAAGATGTTTATCCAAGGGATTGGTTCTATCTGAAAACTAAGAGAGGGGAGACAAAATTTCATAAGTAGTTGACACAATAAGTGTCTTTTTCAAAACTACTAGAGTGCTATTAAGACATTTATTTATTTATTCTAAACACACAGTACACCAAAAATGGTCAATGTGAATAAATCAGGACGTGCTCCACAGGGAAACATGGGAAGAAGAAAAAATAATCAACCAAAGCAAGGAGGTATTAACTCTTTCAAGAAATAGTTATTGGGCATCCAATATGTACCAGTAACTATTCAAGACATGAGAGAAGGCCGGGCGCGGTGGCTCAGCCTGTAATCCCAGCACTTTGGGAGGCCGAGGCGGGTGGATCACGAGGTCAAGAGATCGAGACCGTCCTGGTCAACATGGTGAAACCCCATCTCTACTAAAAATACAAAAAATTAGCTGGGCATGGTGGCGTGTGCCTGTGATCCCAGCTACTCAGGAGGCTGAGGCAGGAGAATTGCCTGAACCCAGGAGGCGGAGGTTGCGGTGAGCCGAGATCGCACCATTGCACTCCAGCCTGGGTAACAAGAGTGAAACTCCGTCTCAAAAAAAAAAGACATGAGAGAAAAAAGAGCGAACTAATAAGACAAAGACTCCGCTCATCTGGTGTTGACATTGACGGGGGAGGAAGGTAAAAGGTGATGAGGACAGTGATAACATATTTATGACTCAGTGATGACTAATAAGAAAAGACTATTAAATGATTAATATAAAAAAGAAAATAAATATAAAATATAAGTAATAATACTACAGAAAAGAAGAAATCTGAATAAGAAGATGAAGTCTGAAGGTGGAAAGCACTATTTTATAAACAATAGAGCCAGACGCAGTGGCTTACGCCTGTAATACCAACATTTCGGGAGGCCGAGGCAGGTGAAACACCTGAGATCAGGAGCTCGAGACTAGCCTGACCAACATGGAGAAACCTCGTCTCTACTAAAAATACAAAATTAGCCAGGTGTGGTGGCACATGCATGTAATCCCAGCTACTTGGGAGGTTGAGGCAGGAGAATGCCTTGAACCTGGGAGGCAAAGGTTGCAGTGAGCCAAGATCTCGCCATGGCACTCCAGCCTGGGAAACAAGAGCGAAACTCCATCTCAAAAAAACAGAACAAAATGAAAACAATAGTCAAGGAGGCATCATTGATAAGGAGACAGTTAAGCAGGAATGAGAAGGAATGGGAAGTAAGTCATTTGGATAACCTTGGGAAAGAAACATTTTAGGCAGATAGAAAAGCAAATACAAAGATTTAAGGCAAGAGCATAACTGGGTGTTTGAGAAAAGGAGCTAATTAGAACAGACAAAGAGATACTCAGAGAGTATAACCATCTCTGTTTCCATAGTTCTAGCGGAGATCACCATTCCACTGCAAATATTCCACAAAGGGAAAGGTGTTTCCTGTCAGTTTACCTACTAGACTATAAGCTCGCTGAGGACAGGAACTCTTTTTCATACATCTTTGTATGTATACTGAATGCTAGCACATGACCCGCCAAATAGTAAACATTTTATAAATTTTTAAATGAATAAACAAAGATATTTTTTGGTCCACAAAGGAGTTCTAAATGGAATACTGTTCCATCATTCTCCTTGATTAAGAAAAAAATAGGCCAGGCATGGTGGCTCACACCTGTAATCCCAGCACTTTGGGAAGCCAAGGCAGGCGGATCACCTGAGGTCAGGAGTTCGAGACCAACCTGACCAACATGGAGAAACCCCATCTCTACTAAAAATACAAAATTAGCCAGGTGTGGTGGTGCATGCCTGTAATCCCAGCTACTCAAGAGGCTGAGGCAGGAGAATCACTTGAACCCCAGGAGGTGGGGGTTGCAGTGAGCCAAGGTGGCGCCATTGCACTCCTGCCTGGGCAACAAAGGCAAAACTCCAACTCAAAAAGAAAAGAAAAGAAAAAGCCGGTGCAGTGGCTCATGCCTGTAATCCCAGCACTTTGGGAGGCCAAGGCGGGCTGATCACCTGAGGTAAGGAGTTCGAGAATAGCTTGGCCAACGTGGCAAAACCCTGTCTCTACTAAAAATACAAAAATTAGCCAGGCGTGGTGGCAGGTACCTATAATCCCGGCTACCCAGGAGGCTGAGGCAGGAGGCTTGACCCTGGGAGGCGGAGGTTGCAGTGAACCCAGACTGCACCATTGCACTCCAGCCTGGGCAACAGAGCAGGACTCTGTCTCAAAAAACAAACAAACAAACAAAATAGAAAAAATTAGCCAGGCATAGTGGTGCATGCCTATAGTCTCAACTACTCAGGAGGCTGAGGCAGGAGAATCTCTTGAACCTGGGAGGCAGAGGTTGCCGTGAGCCAAGATTACACCACTGCACTCTAGCCTGGGCGACAAAGCAAGACTCAAAAAATAAATAAATAGGCTGGCACAGTGGCTCACACCTGTAATCCCAGCACTTTGGGAGGCCAAGATAGGCAGATCACCTGAGGTCAGGAGTTCAAGACCAAACTGGCCAACAGGGCAAAACCCTGTCACTACTTAAAAAATACAAAAATTAGACAGGTGTGGTGACAGGAGCCTATAATCTCAGCTACTCAGAAGTCTGAGGCAGGCAAAATTGTTTGAACCCAGGAGGCAGAGGTTGCAGTGAGCCAAGATCATGCCATTGCACTCCAGCTTGGGCAACAGAGCGAGACTCTCTCAAGTGAATGAATGAATGAATGAATGAATACATACATACATACATACATACATACACACAGCAGGCTTAACATTAGAAAGTGAAACCCAAAAGATAGTGAACCAATTATCTTTCAAGTATTAAGGTTTTGTTGTTGTTAAGCTAAACTAGAATTCTGCACTCAGCAAATATATCTTTCAAAAAATAGGTAAAGATTTAGTCAAACAAACAAAAGTTTTTTTAATTACCACATATAGACCAACACTATGAGAAATGTTAAAGGAAATTCTTTTTTTTCTTTATCTTTTGAGATGGAGTATCACTCTTGCTGCCCAGGCTGGAGTACAATGGCACAATCTCGGCTCACCACAGCCCCCACCTCCCGAGTGGAGAGAAATATTTTTCTTATTTAAAAAATATCTTTAGCCAGGCGCGGTGGCTCAAGCCTGTAATCCCAGCACTTTGGGAGGCCGAGGCGGGTGGATCACGAAGCCAAGAGATCGAGACCATCCTGGCTAACATGGTGAAACCCTGTCTCTACTAAAAATACAAAAATTAGCTGGGCATGGTGGTGCGTGCCTGTAATCCCAGCTACTCAGGAGGCTGAGGCAGGAGAATTGCCTGAACCCAGGAGGTGGAGGTTGCGGTGAGCCGAGACCGTGCCATTGCACTCCAGCCTGGGTAACAAGAGCGAAACTCCGTCTCAAAAAAAAAAAAAAAAAAAAAAATCTTTAAAGAATAATTGACTATTAGAACAAAATTAGTAACTAGTATGGGGTTTGTAATATACATAAGTACAATGTACTACCTTTTTTTTTTTAAGACACGGTCTTGCTCTGTTGCCCAGGCTGGAGTACAGTGGTACAGTCTCAGCTCACTATAGCCTCAACCTCCCAGGCTCAAGCGATCCTCCTATCTCAGCTTCCCAAGTAGCTGGGACTACAGGCATGCACCACCATGCCCCACTAATTTTTTGTATAGGCAGGGTTTTGCCATGTTGCCCAGGGTAGTCTCGAATTTCTGGCCTCAATCAATCCTCCTGCCTCTGCCTCCCAAAGTGCTTGGATTACAGGCATGAGCCACTGCACTTGGCTACAATATACTTCTAGGAGGAGGCAAACAACAAAAAACATGTCCTAGAGTTCTCATAATATTACAGTGAACAGACATATTACTTAAAAGTGGTCTGTGGATAAAGTTGTAACTATAAAACATAAAACTACCGCTAAAAGCAAAACAAAACAGCAGAGGTACAGATGATAGGCTTATAAGATAGATAATCCTGCCATGGCCAGTGTGAAGCTACTAACATGGATGTCACTGAAACGAAACATGAGAAGATGTGCATAATCAGACATGGCAGGATGGTACAAACTAGTAGGTATCAGTTCCAGCTAACTACTAGTTTAAACTCAACCATATCAATCAGCACACTAAATAGGAAAGATACAAAAAGTCCAATTAAAAGGCAAAGATTATTATATTGTTAAAAAGCAAGACTCGACAATGCTGTCTACAAAAACCCAATTCAAGTATATAGACAAAAATAGGTAAAGGGATGGAAAAATATATACTATTCTAATTCTTCTCAAAAGAAGGCTGGATTGACTATGTTAATATCAAAGTAGATGTAAGATCAAATAACTGATTACAAGGAATAAAGAGGATTATTTCACAATGATGAAGGGGTCAACTTATCAAGAAGATATAACAATCCTAAATGTTAATATATCTAATATCAGAACTTCAGCATACATGAAACAGAAACTGATAGAACTGAAGGAAATAGACAAATCTACAGATATAGCAGAGATTGCAATACTTCCCTCTTAATAACTGACAGAACAAGTAGTCGAATCAGTAAGGTCATAAAAGACTTGACCAACCTTATTAGCCAATTTGACATAAGTAGCATTTATAGAACACTCCACCCAATAAGAACAGAGTGCACACCCTTTTCAAGTGCACACACTATATTTTTCAAAATAAACCATATCCTGAGCAAAAAAAAAAAAAAAAGCCTCAAATAAAAAAATATGAGTCAAACACAGTGGCCCACACATGTAATCCCAGAACTTTGGGAGGCCGAGGTGGGTGGATCACTTGAGCTCAGGAGTTCAAGACCACATGGCCAACATGGTGAACCCCATCTATATTAAAAATAAAAAATTAGCTGGGTGTGGTGGTGTGCACCTACAGTCCCAGCTATTCAGGAGGCTGAAGTTAGAGAACAACCTGAACCCGGGAGGTAGAGACTGCAGTGATCACAGCACTGCACTTGAGATCACACCATTGCACTCCAGCCTGGGTGAAAGAGTAAGACTCTGTTTTAGGGGAAGAAAAAAAATAAACACACA